CTAAAAAATAAATATTAAAATTCTCTCTCTCTCTCTCTCTCTCTCTCTCTCTCTCTCTCTCTCTCCTCTCTCACTCTCTCTTTAAAAAAAAAAAAGAAAGAAAGAAAGAAAGAAAGCTGAGACTTCAGTTGGTGATCTAGTCAAATATTTTGGAGAGGACTACCAATATGATGGAGTTAGGAGAAGGTAAATCTCCCTTTCCCAGAAACACAAATCTTTTGAGTGAGAGAGGAGAGAGAGAGAATCTTTAATATTTATTTTTTAGTTCTCGGCGGACACAACTTCTTTGTTGGTATGTGGTGCTGAGGATCGAACCCGGGCCGCACGCATGCCAGGCAAGCGCGCCACCGCTTGAGCCACATCCCCAGCCCCGAAACACAAATCTTTAATGACAAAGAAAAAGGTCACTGGGAAGTTGGGGAACACAGTGACATTACCAGCAACTCCATTTCCTCATCTTAAAAATGGCAAGCTAGCTGGGTACAGTGGCTCGCATCTGTTATCCCATCAGCTTGTGGTGGRCAAGCAAGGGGTGGGGAGACAAATGAGGCAAGACAGCAGGAAACAGATTTATTTGGCTGCAGCCAGGTTCAGAAGGCAAAGCTTTCACTGTAATCAATCAATCAATCTCCTGAACCCAGAGTTCAGGCAATTTCAAAACTTTATACCCAGTTTGTTGGGGGAGGGCCTCAGAAATTCATAAAAAGCAGTTCTTTCTTTCACTGTTCTAGGCAAGTTAAACCTTCAAGGACAACACCTGAGAGGGGAGAGCTTCTTTCCCCCTTTCTTCCCTCCCCCTGCCAGCTGTTGTTACCATGGAGCCTAATTAACAACTAGAAACATCTTCTCRTAACTTTAAAATGTAAACATCTCTGTGAAGCTCAGCCCAAAGCCAGAGGCTTTGAGAATCTCTCTTCCTTATCACACTTAGCATTTGCAAAAACACTTCCCACTTGAGAACTTTTACAAACTATTGTTACTATACTAAATAGTCCATAAATATTTGAAAAACTACTAGAGGGTGTTCAGAACCTGGACCAAATTTAATTATTGTAAGACATGAGCAACAGGAAATAGGAAGGATAACTACATTGAACTCTTTTGCAGATATCCTTTTTCTGATAGTCCTAAGATCAATTATGATGAAGATTTCTGGAGATGCTTAATTAAGATTTTTCTGTAGAGAAGAGGGTGCCACTACCGGCTCAGGAGGCTGAGGCAGGAGGATCCAGAGTTCAAAGCCAGCCTCAGCAGAAGGGAGACACTGAGCAACTCAGTGATACCCTGTCTCTAAATAAACTACAAAATACGACTGGAGATGTGGTTCGGTGGCAGATTGCCATTGAGTACAATCCCCGGTACCCCCACCACCACCACCAANCAGTGATACCCTGTCTCTAAATAAACTACAAAATACGACTGGAGATGTGGTTCGGTGGCAGATTGCCATTGAGTACAATCCCCGGTACCCCCACCCCCACCCCAAAAAAAAAAAAAAAAAAAAAAACAAACATAGGGCAAGCTAATATAGAATGGCTGAGAGAATGAGGACCAACCAACAACCATCTGTAAGCAATTCCTTAACACCTATGCCAGCACACCAGCAACAGTCACAGGGGTCCAAATCCTAGTGAGCACAAACCAATGTCCAGCTAGAAGACTTTCTGAAGAGAGCAGGTCTTTTAGAAGAAGAACTGGAAGCACCCAGCTGAAAAATACAATATTATTTATTTTTTTGGCACTGGGAAGTTGAACACAGGGGTGCTTTACCTCTGAGTTACATCCCCAGTCCTTTTCATATTAAGACATGGTCTCACTAAATTGCTGAAGCTGGCCTTGAACGTTCAGTCCTCTTGCCTCAGGTTCCCAAATCACTGGGTTGACAGGCATGCACCACCATGCCCAGGCTTGATAAAAAATTTTAAACTTATAAGTAAGCCTAAATAAAACTTTTTACTCTAAGAACCCAGTTTCTACATAATTTCTACAAGAGGGGGAAAAAAACCATACAGCCAAAAGCATAACCAAGTACGTGCAATACGGGCATCGTCTTCTCTAATGTGGTTCTACAAAATGAAAGTCCCACCAAGGGCAGTAGCACATGCCTGTAACCCCAGCAGCTAAGGAGGCTGAGACAGGAGGATCACATGTTCAAAGCCAGCCTCAGCAAAAGCAAGGCGCTAAGCAATTTAATGAGACCCTGTCTCTAAATAAAGTACAAAATAGGGCTGGGATGTGGCTCAGTGAGTTCAATCTCAAAGGAAGAAGGAAAAAAAAAAAAAAGGATGGCAGTCCCACACACCATCACACTGTGAGTCAGGCTAAGGTTTTGACATACAACTTTACAATTCCTCCAACTCAAAAATCTCAAACTCTATTCTTACTCAGCAGCACAATAATTGTACTAAGATGTGTTTTTTGTTGTTGTTGTTTGGATTTTAAGGAAAAAAAAGAAATTTACTGGTAACTTAATGTCCAACAATCCAGAAGGAAAAAATTTCTTGAGCCAGTCATTTTATCAAAAACACAATAATTCTTTAAAAAGACTTACTGATCCAAGAAAATTCTTGTGAACAGCACATGTGTTTACTGTATTCAGTACACAGGGTTTTCCAGACCCTTAAGAAGGGCCTCCTCAGCCTCTGGGTTTGCTGGGCCTCGTGCATCAGTCTGATCAGTCTACTCTTAAACCCCTGGCTCATGTATATCTGATTCACCCCAAGAAATGTTTGATGGGCACATGGGGAAACTATTAATGCAAACATGCTCTTGACATTCCACAGAATTCTCAATAATACCAGCTTATACCCACATATTTAATATAAAATGTTATATTGTCTTATTCCTGTTTTATACATAAGGAAGTAAAGAAAGGCACAGGTTAAATTACTTTAGTAAGATTAGTAAGTGAGAAAGTCACCAGCATTTAAAAAACAAAACACAAAACTCTGTTCTAGTTTAGACTTGCCGTAACATTTATACTTCTTTTAAGTGTCCTGTCCATCCTGTCCATCCAGTCCCACTGACTCTGCCCCACCCACATGTTCTTATCATGCACCCCGTCCTCACTGGCCACTCACTGAGCCCTTACTTGTACAGGGCACCACATCAGCACCATGGTGAATACAGATGAAGAACACAGAGAGTTTACTACCTGGAGGACCTCGATTTTCATCTTGCTGAGCCAGGGGGTTGAGACAATTTACAGGAATTTTAAAATGGCTTCAAGGATGCTTCCCGTGAAAACATGTTTTTTTCAAATCACGTATCATGGGTTTAAATTTTTTTGAGTATGAACAACTAGTAGCAAAAGAAGTCACACAAATTCTCTTAAGGTTTTTATACACAGTGAAAGTTATAAAGACACAATAACCTCTATCATTCTTATTTATCTACCCATAAAACCATACTTAATGGTTTAATTTCATATATAAAGTGAGATAATACAGTCATGCTATGCAGAATTAACATCTAAAATTATATTCCATGGCTTAATAATTCAGGGACACATATCTAATATTTTTAAAAATGATCCACAAGTTAAGCCACTGAGATTTCAATAACCTCTAAGGAAAACAAAATACATTTAACTAAATCCTTTGATGACTAAGCAGCTGCTGATAGATACGTTTCTTTTTTTTTTTTTTTAAGAGAGTGAGAGAGGAGAGAGGGAGAGGGAGAGAGAGGGAGAGAGAGAGAGAGAGAGAGAGAGAGAGAGAGAGAGAGAGAGAGAGAGAGAGAGAGAGAGAGAGAGAATTTTTAATATTTATTTTTTAGTTCTCGGCAGACACAACATCTTTGTTTGTATGTGGTGCTGAGGATCGAACCCGGGCCGCACGCATGCCAGGCGAGCGCGCTACCGCTGAGCCACATCCCCAGCCCCAAGATAGATACGTTTCAAAAATAAAAAGTGGCAGAACACTTTAAAGATTAGAGGCCATGGTACAGTAGTGGGCAGGGGGGATCTCCACCTTAAGTGACATCACACCTACCGTAGTGTCATTGCTGGTAACGTAAACCAGGACATCAGAAGAGTTCCTGCCATTGATGTATCGGTAGCAGTTCCAAACACAGCTAATCAAGTAACCCTGGAAGTGAGTACTGGTTATTAGATTTTTTAATTTTCAAACTTCAAACAATTTAAAATACCACATAGATAAAAACATACTATAAAACTTTTTATTACATAAAACTAAAGCAGGTGTAACCTCTATTAACCAAAAAGCCTTTAAAGAGTACAAAGGCTGGGTACAGTCACTCGCTGGCTAAGGGTGCTCTTGTACCTTCGTATTTTGTCACACAGTGTGGGCAGAAAAGAGGTACTGGTTAGGAAGAGGAGGGGCTGAGAGCAGAACAAGAAATTTCGAAAAAAAACGTGGTCCAAAGGAACAACCACCACAAATACTTATTGTCCTCAAATTCACAGTACAAATTCATTAATCCATTTATCACAATGCTTTACCTCTGTTTCATTGGGAATTTTTGTTCTACATAATCGTCTATGATTTAATCACAAGTCAATTTTTTTAAAAAGTTCATAGCCTATAAATTTACTTCCAAGTCATCAAAATTCACTAAAACATTCCCATTTTCATAGTGAGATATCCAAAGAAGATACTTCAAACGAATTACCAGAATAAAGACATATTACAAATAAAGCTTGAATTCATGGGGGAGGGGTTATGGTACTAGGCAATGAACCCAGGGGCATATCCCAGCCCTTTTTATTTTGACAGGGTCTTCCTAAGCTGCTCAGGTTGGCCTCTGACTTGTGATCTTCCTGCCTCAGTAGCTGCAATTACAAGCATGCACCACCCACCTGGCTATAATGGGAGACGTTTAAGCAATGAACTCCATATACGTCCATTCTAATCATCATAATTTGATTAGAAATTAAATTGTTTCAAAATTCCTTCCTTAAACTTTTTTATTAAAAGAAGTTTAAATATACAGAGCATATGGAAACCTCACATATAGCTAAGAATATAAAATGGTGTAGTTGCTTTCAAAAAGTCTGGCAGAGCCTCAAAAAAAACGAAAACTGAGTTACCACCTGATCCAGCAATCCACTCTTACATATGCAGCCAAGAGGCCACTTATACATGAATGTGCATATAGCAGCATTATTCCACAGAATTCTCCCAACATGATTCCTAACAGTCAAAAGTGAAAGCAGGGGCTGGGGATTTAGCTCAGATGGTAGAGTGCTTGCCTCACATGCACAAGGCCATGGGTTCAATCCTCAGCACTACCCCCCCCCAAAAAAAAGTGGAAGCAATCCAAATGTCTATCAACTGATGAACAAGACACACAAAATGTGGTGTGTATCCATTCAAGTGAGGGTCATTCTGTGATTAAACAGGAGGTAAACTCTGATACATAGTACAACATGTGGGTATCCATTGAAGTGAATGGTCATTCTGTGATAAACAAAGTGATACATGGTATAACATGGGGGATCCTTGAAAACAAGATGGGAAGTGAAAGTTAGCCACAAAGAAGCCAATATTGTATGACTGTGTTTATCTCAAATGTCCAAAACAGGCAAATCTATCAGAAAGTAGCTTAGTGATTTCTAGCAGTAGAGAGTGGGCAGAAGAGTGAATGGTGAGTGGTAAAGTATTCCAAAATTATATTGTGCAACCTCGTGGTGGTGAATGCACAATTCTGTAAACATACTAAAGAACACTGACTTGTATACTTTAAATGGGTGAATTTTTTTGTGAATTATATTTCAATTTGTTTTCAAAAAATTTTAGCAAAAAATAGGTAAAATATTCTGGAGAATAGTCAGAATGCTGTCTTGAACTGCATTCATATTTGAAGGTGATTATTTCTTGCATTCAACTTCAGATGTTAAACTGAAAATGTATGGGGCTGGGGATGTGGCTCAAGCGGTATCTCGCTCGCCTGGCATGCGTGCGGCCCGGGTTCGATCCTCAGCACCACATACAAACAAATGTTGTGTCCGCCGAAAAACTAAGAAATAAATATTAAAGTTCTCTCTCACTCTTTCTTACTCTCTCTCACTCTTTCTTTAAAAAAAAAAAAAAAAGAAAGAAAATGTATATGCTATTTTATAAAATTTCTTTAATATTTATTTTTTAGTTTAGGTGAACACAATCTTTATTTTATATTTATGTGGTGCTGAGGATTGAACCCAGTGCCTCATGCATGCTCGGCGAGCGCTCTACCACTGAGCCACAACCCCAGCCCCATAAAATGTTTCTTGAATGGCTATAATCTCAAAGTACAGATCAAGAAGGAAAAAGATGAAAAGTGCATTCTTTATTGAATAATGTACACAATATCTTCTATTCACTCAAACTTTCAGTTTAGCCCATAATGTTATAAGTTCTTTGTTGCCTGAGAAGCCCTAGGCTTTTTAAGAATTTTAATGCTTGGATGTATTAGTTATATGTTCTGTAAAAAGACTATATTCATTTAGTATTTTAGCAGTGAACACTGGATTCCGTAAAGCAAGAACTCTTTCAGACGAGAGTTCCTTATTACAACAAATCCATGACAGAGGCTAAACAGCAGACAAATGTGAAGTGCCTGTTGTCTGGAATTCCACAAGTCCACAGTCAGCACTCCCAAGGCCCCTTGGTGACACACACGGTTCATTCACTGCTCACCCTGGTAGGGGAAAACCTCTCTGCCTGTTGTCTCTAAACACCCAGTGACTTATTACAATGACCTTATTTTTCATTTGACATTTCTTTAATCTTGAATTAAATATTTTAAGAATTTTCCAAACTCACACTAAAATATTCCTTTCCTCATCTCTTTTTTATACATCCATGTATGGAATTTATCCAATCCTTGATCATACAATATAAAAAAAATCAGTGGTGTTTTATGAGGGAAAACTGAATTGATTGTCTCTCTTTCTCTGTCTCCCACTTGCTGGGACTGAACCCAGGGCCTTGAGCTGCTAAGGATGTGCTCTACTACCAAATTACATGCCCTTCAACATATTTTCAATGAGTGATTTTTCTCTCTACTACTCTTATCTATTTAAATTTTTTTTTCCTAAATGTACTTCCTTAAGTTAGTGAAGCTTGACTTTTTTTTTTTTGAGAGAAATTTTTTTTTAATATTTAATTTTTAGTTTTCAGTGGACACAACATCTTTATTTTACTTTTTTAAGTGGTGCTGAGGATCAGACCCAGCGCCCCACGCATGCCAGCCCTGAGGCTTGACTTTTGAAGAAAAGGGTAATTTTATGTCAAAATAAAGATAATGAGTTTTAAAAGTTCAAGGCCTGGGCTGGGTGATATAGCTCAGTTGGTGGAATGTTTGCCTTGCATGCACAAGGCCCTGGGTTCAATCCCTAGCACCACACACACACAAAAAGTTCAAAGCCTAAGAACCATTTGAGATTTTCCTGTTAGCACACAAACACAGGCTATCAAAATACAATCTGATTAGAATTACAATCACATTGACAGAAATGAAAAAGAACAGGTAATATCTGATGAGAAGGGTGGGAACTCTATTGGTGGGAGTGACAACTCATTTAACTTTTGGGGTGTTCGATCTGACAGCCTACCAAAGGCCTTCAACTTATGCCTGTCCTCTGATTTTAAGAAAACATGTTGTCTGGGGATGCAGCTCAGCGGCACAGCACTCACCTCACTCCTGAGAGTCACTGGGTTCAATCCTTAGCACCACATAAAAATAAATTTAAAAAGGCATGCTGTCCATCTACAACTATAAAAGAAACTGGGGGAAAAAATGGAGGAAGAAAATGTATCTTGAGGACACAAGTGCCTAAGTATTCTTATAGCACTACTAATAAACGAAAAATTAGACACCACTTCAATGTCCAACAATTGAAAGAAATAATAACACTCATAAAGGATTGATATTCTAAAAATGACAAGAATGTGTAATTCCAGTGTCTCAGGAGGATTACAAGTTCAAAGACAGCTTCATCAACTTAGCTAGAACGGAAGCAACTTAGCGAAACCCTGTCTAAAAACAAAAAATAAAGTAAAAGCAGGCTGGGGATGTGGCTCAGTGGTTAAGTGCCCGTGTGTTCAATCCCTGGTACCAAAAAATCATCATCATCACAAGAATGTCTATTACATGGGACATTGTAATGCATGTTGCAGTGTCATAACATAAACTATGCAATGTATAATATTATATTAATTTATTTCCATTTAAACATATTTTGGAATAATCCTTGATTGGCCTATGTAATCCTGGTGTTTCTCTCTCATGTAAGTAACAGAAGGAACTGGAATATTAGGAAACAAATAGCAGACAATTAACCGATCAGGCTGTTTATTTCTTTGGCATATAGAATATTCTCAATAATATTTAACCATAAGTAAAATCCTTATGCTTACCTTGAATGTCAGGATAATGCTGATAAACAGAAGAATAATAAGGACCAAACAGGTAGGATTCACCGACATGATATCATCTCTGTAAGGAAAATTAGGAGGCTGCAAAAGAAAAGGGCCTCGTTAGCAAATCTCTTTATAATCATTCAAGATATATTCGTTAGACAGCAGTTCTGATGGGCTCATCAGAAACCAACAGGCAAAAGCAGACAGTTCCCATTTAGAACCAACGCACAATTTCTCACCCACCTCTACTCATGAAAAAGTCACAAAAGGTGTGACAATGGGGACAGACTAGTCTGTCCTTAATGCGGGCAATAATTCTATAAAAGGGAAAATCAAAGGAAGAGTCATGAATGAGACCTGAAAATACCACTTTGCTCGCCTACTACACAAATTTAGAAGTTTGTAGTCTGTGCCACCTGGATTTTCTGGGAATTCTAGACATTCTAAAGAGCACGTATAGGGTCAGGGGATGGATTTAAAATGGTGTTTTCTTTATGTAAAGTATTCTTGCTAATCTTAGAGAGCAGATTCTCTTATAATAACAAGAATTCACAGTATCTATTAGAAGGGTGGGGGCTGGGGATGTAGCTCAGTTGGTAGAGTGTTTACCTTGCTTACACAAGGCCCTGGGTTCAATTCCCAGCACCATACACGCACGCTTGTGTGTGTGTGTGCGCGCGCATACATACACACACACACACAAAAAAAAAAGTCAGTGCGCATACACACACACACACACACACACACACAAAAAAAAAAAAGTCAGGAGATGGGAATATAGCTCTGTGGAAGAGTGCCTGCCTAGCATGAGGGTTAGGGTTTGATCCCCAGCACTTGAAAACAAAGAAACAAAAGGAAGTCCTACCATCTGACTACACTGATGAAGTACCAGATCCATGGAAACCTATTTAGGATGACCATAGTCGTCTATGGTCAGTGGAAGCAACAGGACTTCCCCAGGACACACACACACAAAAAAAAAAAAAATCAAAAGGAAATAAAAATCAAAGTAATTTTTTGAGATCAGGTCATGAAATCATTTTTTTTAATATTTTTTAGATGCTGGTGGACCTTTATTTTATTTATTTCTTTATATGTGGTGCTAAGAATTGAAACCCAGTGCCTCACACATGCTAGGCAAGTGCTCAACCACTGAGCCTCCAGAAATCAGGCTTTTCTTTTCTTTTTTTTTTTTTTTTGTACTGAGGATTGAATCCAGGGGTACTTAACCACTGAGCCACAGCCTCAGCCCCCCTTTTTCAAAGTGCAAGACAGAGTCTCACTGTATTATTTAGAGTCTTGCTAAGTTGCTGAGGCTAGCCTCGAACTTGCAATCCTCCAGCCTCAGATTCCCAAATTGCTGGGATTACAGCTGTGCACCACCTCGCAGTAGTAATGATCTTAAGGGGCAAGAATAACATAGTGTTGTTCATAAGACCAACAAGAAATCATATTGCTCCTATGGTCTAATTACAGGAATGAATTAAAGAAGAAGCATGTGACCTCTTTCACAAATATCTTGACACTCTTCCTCCAGAAAAGTGGACATGGTTTCTACATATAGTTAAGATCTACAGAAAGATACGCATGTCTGTGTTTGACAAGACTCCACATAAATAAACTGAACAGGCATTAGAATTAAGCAAGCAGGTGCTGGGGATATAGCTCTGTTGGTAGAGTGCTTGCCTAGCATGCAAAAAGGCCCTGGGTTCAATCCTCAGCACCACCACCAAAAAAAAAAAAAAAAAGAAGAAGAATTCAGCCAGGGGGCCTGCCTTCAGCCCTCTCAGATAACAGCCTCTCAGAATCACTCTATCTCAATCTGTCAACAGAGGCTCCATTATCAGGAGAACTTCAATGCTGCCATTCATTACTGTCTTTTAAGGCACTGCTGATAATGTGTAAGCCTCATTCCTTCAGCCTAATCTTTAAGTAGAACATAGAGAAGATATTCACTTGGGTTATGTTGGGGCTGAGGTTCTATCTAGTTCAGTGGGAGAACACTTGCCGAGCACGTCTGAGGCACTGGGTTCAATCCTCAGTTCAACCCTTTATAATTATTTGTAAAACTAAATATAAATAAAATAAAGGAATTGTGTCCATCTACAACTAAAAAAAATGTTTTTTAAAAAAGGTAAATGTTTATTTTAACTGCTATTTTAATTACTACCAGCTCTAAAACAAACAAGAAGGGAATGAAAAAAACAATATAGAGCTTAAAAGGAAGTCTAGGTAGATTCTGAGCATTCTGCATGCTTGCCCTGCATATTAGGCTTTATGTTCCTTCTGAATCTCTGCAGCATACAGAGTATAGCACACCATCTCCTATTCAAATAGTCAAAGGGCTGCATATGGTTCACCTTCATGTCTCCATCAGCATCAACACCCTGTCCCAACCCCTCGAATCCCAAATCATGCTGAGATGGTATTTCTTCCTCTCTTCCAGGATGAATTTTGGGAGCCTAGCACCAGAGATCATCATCACAGAGTTTTAAAAAAAAAAAAATCGTTCAGCACCAAGTGCTGTGACTCAGTGATAGAGCTCTTGCCTAGCACATGGGAGGCACTGGGTTCAATCCTCAGCACCATATAAGTAAAATAAAACTATTTTGTCCATCTACAACTAAAAAACATACATATTAAAAAAAGACCAGTCTAGGCAAGTTGGCAAGACCTGGGCTCAAAATGAAAACTCAAAAGGACTAAAAATGTAGCTCAAGCCAGGCACAGTGGCACACACTTATTATCCCAGCGGCTCAGGAGGAAGAGGCAGGAGAAATTTAGCCAGGCACTAAGCAACTCAGTGAGACCCTGTCTCTAATAAAATACAAAATAGAGCTGGGGATGTGGCTCAGTGGAGTGCCGCTGAGTTCAATCCCCGGTACCCCCAAAACAAAAATTATATATTAAAAAAAAAAAAAAAGTACCTCAGTGGCTTAATGGTAAAGCACTCCTCAGTTTAATCTTCAATTAAAACAAAACAAAACACATCACCAACTTCTCTTGCCTCATTTCCTCCTTTTTTCCCTCCAGCTCATCCACTGATCATTTCTCCTGTACTTTTCAGTCCCCATTATCACATTCCCCAGCCATCTCTTCCATTTCATGAGAAGTCTGCTCCTTTCCCAGTGCTCAGACACTACTTTAAAAAAAAAAAAAAACCTCTAAGAACGAATACCTTATTTAAAACATTCTAAGATTTTGAAGAAATTTTAAGACAAATTCACAATTTAAAAAATAAAGATTATAAGATGTGAATAAGCAGATATTCCAACCTCTGCTATGTTTCTTAATACCCAGCCATAAACACTTACTCATATCGTCACAAAGGACATTTAATAGACTCATCCCCAAATGATAATTGGGGAAGAAAAGAATTTTATGATCAAATATGTTTGGGAAACAGTATATAGCAGAGTCCCAAGTTCTCCCATACAATAGCAGAGGCATGAACTACATTTTATTCATACCTAAGCAAACTGCATTTCACAAAGCAGGATTATCAGCATCTACACTATAACTTAGGTAGATTCATCAAATGCCACCATCACTGCCACCCACTTAACTCTCTCAAGCTCAGGGAGGTTTTATTTCCCAAAAGATTTTCTAAAAAAATCAAAACTCTTTTAAGATTACATTTAAAAATCTCTCATCAGGCCAAGCATAGTGGTGCATGCCTGTAATCCCAGCAGTGTGGGAGACTGAGTCAGAAGGATCACAAATTTGAGGCCAGCCTCAGCAACTCAGGGAGATCCTGTCTCAAAAATGGGGGTGGGGGGAGACAGGGGATGGGGAGGAGAGGCTAATAATGTAGCTCTGTGATAGAGCAGCCCTGGATTCAAATCCCAATACTACCACATACACACACATACACACACACACACACAAATCAGTAATTCATATGCAATCTAAAACTCCACAAATGGAAGTATGTGAGCCTATCGCTATACTTGTATGTCTCTTACTGAACCAGGTACCTCTCTGGTCAAGAAGTGGTCATTGGGAGGGCCACATACCAGCTGGCGTATGTATTCCTGAATGGAGTTTGGATAAACAAGCACAGTGACTGCAACCAAGGTGTTCAGGGCAAAATCAAAGATCTGGTAACAGAAGAATGGGATGATCCAGGCAGCATGTTGCTAAACATAAGAGAAAACAGCAATGTTAATAATGCATTCCGCATCACAAAACACTATTTTCTTGAGTTCAAAGAAATCTTTTTTTTAATCTAAAGGGACATGATGGAATTGAAATTCATTAAATCAGGTCATGACAGCAACTGGTGCGCCAAACGGAAGGAGTCAACAAACATGACTCAGTGAACTGGTCTGGGATTATAATATTGGTTTTACTGGATTTCCTAGTAACAGGACGTCAGTGAAAGATCAAAACTTCTGAAAAAGAAAACTAGGAATAATTACTTCATACCGACTATGGTTAAATACAGAGATTACACATGTAAGAGACAGAGGAAAAGGCCCGGCACCTTATTATGGCTACTGACCTTGTATGCTCCATAAGTCGCCATTGCACATATCAGGATCATGAGGAGAGAAACTGCGATAGCGATGCACATGTCTGCCAAAAAGACAATTAGCAGTAAATCCACGGTTCAAATATTTTTGAGTCTATCCTCAAAGGCACTTTATTTATAAACCAATTATAAGTAACAATTTTTTTAAATTTATTTTTTATTGGACATAATATCTTTATTTATTTATTTTTATGTGGTGCTGAGGATCCAACCCAGGGCCTCGCATGCTAGGCGAGCGCTCTACCACTGAGCCACAACCCCAGCCCCTATAAGTAACAATTTTATGCCAAACAAACCGCTATTTTCTTGAGTAAACTATAGCTTATTAGCTTATTAGGAAAATAAAGTGACAACGATATATTCCCTAAATCATAAATGATGGCAGATATGAGATTAAAAGAACAAGAAAGAGAGATAGGTTACAGATATCAGCAAAATTGGGGCCAGGCGTAGAGCCACACACCAGCGACTTGGGAGGCTGAGGTAGGAGGATTGGGAGTTCAAATCCAGCCTTAGCAACTCTGCAAGGCACTTAGCAACTCAGTAAGACCCTGTCTCTAAATAAAATACAAAAAAGGGCTAGGAATGTGGCCTAGTCAGTGGTTAAGTGCCCCTAGATTCAATCCCTAGTACCCGCCCCCAAAAAAATAAAATAGAAAATTAAGTCTTTTGGTCCACTAAACTCTCTAAATAATAGGTGTTCTTTTATAGTCATACAGATGTCTAAATCCGATTTTGTAAACTTGAGTGCCTCATGACTCAAAATTAAAATTTCCCATAGCTTCCTAGTTCACTTAGAAATCTCAATTTCTTTTCATGGCCTTGATTCTATAATGTACCTACCTCTCTCATCTTACCTCATCTTTCTCGCTCACTATAACTCAGCCACACCACTTGGTTCATTAAACACAACAAGATTGCATTACCATTTGCAGTTCCCACCGACGAAAAGCAGCTCAGTTATATTTCCACATCCTTTTAATCATTCAGGTCTCAGCTCCAATGGCAACACCCCAGAGTTTCCCTGAGTTCTATAGTTAGGATAACCCTCCCAGTCACTATCACATTACTGTGATAGTAATGTGGTACCATCCTTATTGCAAGATCACTATTATCTTATTTCTATTTGATACCAGTATACTATCTGCTTCCCCCTGAAGTAACCTTCCTACTGAAAAGGATCTTGTCACCATTATAACCCCACCATCCAGGCGAGCAATGCCCACTGTAGTAGCCTTTAGCCACATGTGGGAATTGAGCACTTGAAAAGAGGTTAATCTGACTGAGATGTGTTACAAGATTAACATACACTCCAGATTCCAAGGACATGGTACAAGGGAAAAGAATATAAAATATTTCACTAGTAATTTTTACACTGATTACATGCTAAAATAATATTTTGGATACACTGAGTTAAAAATAAAACAATTAAACTTAATCTCACTTGTTTATCTTTCTTAAGGTGGCTAGTAGAAAATTTATTTTTATGTACCATACTACATTCCTATTGAACAGTGCTAATCTAGAATGATACCTACATCATAGTAGATACTAAATGAATATTTATTCACAGGGTCCCTATCTTTAGGAAGCATGGTAAAACTAGTTTTCTAAAGACAATATATGGGATCATTATTTGGCTGAGAGCACAAAACCCTGCTTGACAGTTTTGAAGACACTTTCACAAATGTTTTAATCTTCTTGACTGAGGTAGATGTTATTATTCCTACTGAACAGATTATAGAACTAGGGCTCAGAGGTTATATAACTTACTGAGATAGTTATTTGCATCAAAAGGATAAGCTATGACTAATTCTGTTACAATTTCAAATCCCCGGTTCTTTCTACCATATCATACCACACCATGTTGCTTCTACTTAAGCTATGAACACTGACCAACAACTAACCTGGGCTGCCACTTCCTCTAGGTTTTTCTCCAATGGACAGCATTCTAGTTTTAGAGGCATCCTCTGTATCCTCAACTTCAGTTGAGATATTTTAAGCAGGGGGTTTACAAAGTACCTTCTAGGACAGAAATGTAGGTATGGCAACAAAGACCTTAAAACAGTTAAGGTTCTAGCTGGCACCAGGGCACACAACTTTAATTCCAGTTAATTTGGAAGGCCAAAGCAGGAGGAGCCCAAGTTCTAGGACAACCTGGGCAACTTAGCAAGACCCTGACTAAAATACACAATTAAAAAGGGTTGGGGGAAGGTGCTGGGGAGGCTGGGGTTGTGGCTAAGTGGTAGAGCACTTGCCTCGCACATGTGAGGCACTGGGTTCGATCCTCAGCACCACAAAAAAATAAACAAACAAAATAAAGTTATTGTGCTCATCTACAACTAAAAAAATATTTTTAAAGGGCTGGGGCAGGGGATGAGTTTGGGAATGGTAAAGCTCAGTGGTAAAATGCCCCCGAGTTCAATCCCCAATACAAAAAAAAAAAAAAACGTGAAGAGTTGATTCTCAAAAACAAGGAAAATGAAGGTGATGAAAACAGGACAATTTGATTGCATTTAACATGCAAAAATCTTCTTTCAAAGAATATAAAACCAGAGAAATTTAAAAGGATTAAATAAAGGTCACAAAGTATCTGATTACCACTTACAATAAGATGCTTTTTTTTTTTTTTTTGTATTGGGGGTTGAATCCAGGGTCACTCTCCTCAGCTCATTTTTTTTGTTTTGTTTTGTTTTGTTTTTGTGACAGGGTCTCCCTAAGTTGCTGAGGATGACCTCAAACTTGCGATCCTTCTGCCTCAGACTTTCAAGTAGCTGAGATACAGGTTTATACCACAACACTCAGCAATAAGATGGTGTTTACCATAAAAATGTTATTAACATGAAGAAATTCTCAAAATTCTATCTATAAATGATTTTACCAACCACACTGCATAGACTGAATACATCCCAAGTGTGTGTAATAAATAACTTAGGTAGACCCAAAGTATAATAAAAAAACACAGAGCAGATAAAACAGGCTAATACACATTCTATCTCCAAGCAATCTACAGCACCAGCTCACCACTCTGAAATAATGTGCAGTATACATAGGAAATAGGACAGTTACTCTGAGGAATTAAAATCCATTCCTTGTAATGATGTGAAGGCAAATAAGAAAATGATGCTAATAATATAGAGGTCTTTGGGGCTGGAGACATAGCTCAGTTGGTAAAGTGCTTGCCTGGCATGTACAAAGCCCTGGGTCCAACCCCTAGTGCCACACACACAAATAATAATAATAATAATAATAATAATAATAATAATAATAATAATAATGGTCTTTGCAATTGATAACAGTTCTGGCCAGTGACAGGACTGTCCTTTACTTATTACAGTAAAGTAGCCTATCCAGCCCACCATCAGAGCATGCAGACATCACATTGTTCCTGCCTTAATAATGCAGTTCTAATTGAAAAAGAAACCTGGGAATGCTATCTAAAACATGAGTCACAAAAGGCATAATTAGAAAATGTTTCCTAATGCTCAAATTATCCTTGAAAAAAGGTAATTCTACTTGTTATAAATGTCTTGGATTTGTTTACTTCTCATAAAACTCATAGCTAGCTTGCAAACTAGCTAGTTTATGCTCACAGATTTTGTCTAGTCATAAACCAAACCTCCACATAGATCTTCTCTAATTTCTGCCACATTTCTGGCACTGCAGTACATGAAAACAAATAGTATTTAGGGTATACTGTCACCACGAAGTATAAAGAAGAACTACTTTCAGCTGAATTCATAATAGTATGTAGCTACTCTGAGCAAAATACAAAGCCCTTGAACCCCACAGGGGCAACAGGAACACCCTAGTTCAAGTCCATGCCACCGGGGCCTACATTTTGAGGTTGAAAGCTTAAAGAATAACAATCAGACATTGCTCTGAAACAGAAGGAAGCACCTACTATGCTTCCTTTGCTTGTGTGGTGGACTTTTTACTTTATACCACATAGGATTTTTTTTTGTAAAGTGCTTACTTCTAGTTTTATGCTGAGACCCAAAATTTACTTCATATATGCTCAATAGGTGTAAGCTAGGATAAACACTGTGAAGCTACAAAAACTAACAGGACACAGTCTATTCTCAAGGAGCTTAGGATGGATGGGAAAAGGAATTCAGAAGACAAATGAAGGGAGGGGAGCTTAGAGGGATCATATCATTTTTCAGACAAGAGGRAGTATATTTCAGCAGACCACACATTACTTGGTCAGGGTCCTTTTGTCCCTCATATTTTTTTCAACTGAGATATAATTCACATACCATAAAATTCACTTTTTTTTAATTTGTAGATGGACAAATATCTTTATTTTGTTTATTTTTATGTGGTGCTTAGAATCGAACTGAGGGCCCGGCATGTGCTAGGCAAGGCTCTACCGCTGAGCCACAACCTCAGCCCAAATTCACTCTTTTAACATGTACAATGGCTTTTCCTCCCTCCCCCAGCATCCGACACCTGTATCTATGCTGCCCACTCTCTATGTTGCAGGAATCAGACAAGAAGTGGCAAAGGGCACTCGCAGAGTGAGAGAACTTATTTTACGCCAGCAGGCCCAGAGATCAGGCTCCAAATCCTGGGTCCTCATCTCCAGTTTCTCACACCACTATGCTATCTGGTGCCATAAAATTTCTGGTCTACACGTGCAGGGGTTTCTAGAGGGAAGCATGTTTACAGAAGCAGAGTTTGATAATAAGGAGAAGAACTGGCTCCTCTCACAAGGACTTCAATAAATCTCTAGCCTTGGGCCTCCACAGGGGCGTTCACACTTCAAAAGGGAATAGTTAGATTCCTAGGGGTAGTTACTTACAATCCAAAATGTAGGGGGTGGGGGGAGTGTTAATCAGGCTTCCTGAAGGGCTGACTAGAAGAACTCTCCCTTACCCAGGCACAATTTCTCATGACAAGAGTTCTGATAGTTTATTTTACATCCAGGCCGGGGTTTGTCATCCACTACCATCTACTTTCTGCCTCTGTGGATCTGCCTACTCTGCACATCATAGAAATGAATCACACAGCATGTGGTCTTATTATGGTCAGGCTTCAGTCA